CTGACCTCAGGGAACTTATCTTCCATTATCCTAAAAGATATGAACCCTCCTGTTGCATCAAGCTTTGTTAAGAAACAAAATTCCATGGAGATTTAGATATATTATTATTTTGTAGACCCCCCAAAGCAAAAAAGTTTCATTAACTATAGGGACAATTTATTATTTTTTAGTATATTAGCCACAGTCCAGAGGAGAAAGGCATATATCTTTACAATGTTTATTCTTGTAGTTGATTATGATAAAAGGCATTTGTTGTGTGCCTGCCTGCTTTTGAATTGTGTTAGATTTAAAAGCAGCTGTGGCCCTAACCGGTTTGGCTCAGTGGATAGAGCATCGGCCTGCGGACTCAAGGGTCCCAGGTTCGATTCCAGTCAAGGGCATGTACCTTGGTTGCGGGCACATCACCAGTGGGGAGTGTGCAGGAGGTAGCTGATCGATGTTTCTCTCTCATCGATGTTTCTAACTCTCTGTCCCTCTCCCTTCCTCTCTGTAAAAAATTAATAAAGTATATTTTTTAAAAAGGGAATTAATTAGCAGAGATATTTAAAAAATAAAATAAAAGCAGCTGTGCTTTCTCAATATGTATTGCATTGTCAGAAGCATCAGCATATTATTTTTGAGCTATAAATAAGGTTTTTCATTTTGCGCTTTCTACTATGAGTTTTTGAAATTAAATAAATAAATAAATAGATAGATAGATATGAGCCCTTCTTTAGACTTCCAATGGGCAGATGGAAGGGTAAGTCACATTGTGTCATGATGCCCAATATTTTCATTAGATAGATAGATAGATAGATAGATAGATAGATAGATAGATAGAAGCCCTCATCTTTTTTAAAAAATGTTTTTATTGATTTAGAAAGAGGAAGGGAGAGGGAAGGAGGGAGGGATAGAAACATCAATGATGACAGAGAATCATTGATCAGCTGCCTCCTGCACATCCCCTACTGGGGATGGAGCCCAACTCAAGTATGTGCCCTGACCAAGAATGGAATCGTGACCTCTGGGTTCATGGGTCAATGCTCAACCACTGAGCCACACCGGCCGGCTGGGTTGATCACTTATCTTTGAGAGAGAGTAATCCTCAGTGAAAACCAATTAAGCCCTGGCTGGTTTGGCTCAGTGATTAGAGCATCAGCCCTCAGACTAAAGGGTCTTGGGTTCAATTCCAAGTCAAGGGCATGTACCTGGGTTGCAGGTTCAATCCTCAGCCCCATCAGGGCATGTGCAGGAGGCAACCACTTGATGTGTCTCTCACATCAATGTTTCTCTCTCTCTCTCCTGCTCCCTCCCTTTCACTGTCTCTAAAAAACAATGGGAAAAATATCCTGGAGTAAGGATTAAAAAGGAAGAAAGGAAGAGAGAGAGAGAGAGAGAGAGAGAGAGAGAGAGAGAGAGAGAGAAAGGAATGAAGGAAAGAAAACCAATTAAGACATGGAAGTTTCCATATTCGAACACTCAGAACTGGAGTCACCTAAATCCTTAGAATACCAAGGCCCCGTGACAGATTGAGCCCAGCCAAGGAGTTAAGGATGTGCAGCCTGCCTCGGAGAATGCATCTTTATTTCTTTCCCACTAGTGCTGGGAATCCAGCCAAGGGCAGCAAACAGAAGAGTAATTTGCTGGAATTTTTATTTCTAGTGTAAGAGCAAGGATTCATCATTATCTCCAGAAGAGCACGAATTAAATAACCATCATAACAAAACAGGGTCACTTCATCCAGATTCTCAGGACTGCATAAACCCTAGAAGATGCAACGTCCTTTGCCCTTAGAAATATGTCTGACAGGCAGACAGAGCACACACTAAAAAAGGATTATTAACTGATTGCATCGCCACATTTTCTCTTCTTTTCTTTCTTTCTGACCTGTACTGGCATTTTCTTTTTCTATTTCCTTCCTCTTTGCTCACTAATTTTCATCTGCTTTCCATTTTTAATGAAATAAAGGCTCCTAGAACTACTAGCTCAGGAAGCCACTGTCTGACCAGAGGCAGTGGTCACTGGACTCCAGGAGGAAAGCTGGCTTTAACTGAAATCAGGGTTTCCTTCTGACTCTGGGATGTAGATGCAAGAAGAGAGTGGAGTGGGAGCATGGACTGTGTGTTTCCTCCAGGAAGAGATTTGGATCCTCCTTTAGTGACCTCAGACCTCACAGCTCTGTTACAAAGAATAAGAATAGGATGATTATCTATTGGGTCCAGGAAAAATAACATTAAGAATGGAGTGAATGAGCTTCGTGCTCTATTTCTTTGGATTAACAGATATTTCTTACCTGTTATTTCAAAAAGGGAATATTTTGGAACATGACAGTGTTTCTGTTTAACTGTTATGCAAGTAGCATGTCCCCATGCTATGTTCCTCTTTGCACAGCAGGTGTCAGCCTCACACAGCCTTTCTCTTCGTAAATCCATATTCATAAGAAAAATGGCCCTCTTATTTACCCTTTCCTTGGTTAAAAGAATCAATTTCTTTCCTTTTTAAGCCTGCAAAAACAACAGGAAACAGTCACCCAGATATTGGAAACAGAGTCGTGCTAAAGTACTTGAAAAATGGCCAAACCAAGGACCATGTGAAGGGGTGACAAATGTTGAGGTGGGAGAGTGGGGAGGGTAGATTAAGTCCTGTGGGTCACACTAAACAGATGTTAAGTGTTGGATTCAAGTTGGGTCTCTAAAAGACACAGTTATGACACCAACTCAAGAAGCGGTGGACGTGGCCCTCTCAAAGGGTCTTTTCTTTCCTCCAGGCAAAGGAAGTTGAGGCATCAGCAAGCAGCTATAGTGTCCTGGGAAAAGTTCACAGTGTAAACCACTGATATCCACCTTGTCCACTAATAGGTTAAGTGTCTTGTTTTTTACCTCAGGAAAGACACTTCTCTGAGTCTTGGCTTTCTCATTTTTATGATAGAAAAAAATAACCACCTTGTCTACCCAAAGTATTCAATGAGGAGGAAAAAAATTGAGATGTTGTACATAAAACAGTTTGTAGACAGTAAAGCACTATTTAAATGTAGACTGTAGAATAAAATACATAAAGGCAAATGTAGAATAGAGTTATGAATAAAAAAAGAATCCAGTGCTCAAAATTTAAGAAACTTCAATGAATCATTTCTATAGATTTTTCTCAATATACTACACCCAGGTTTTTTTCTCTCCTGTGTTCAATGTTAGTCATGTGGAATTGTAACACACTTAGAGTTTATTTCACAAAAACTTCCCAACCTGGAAAGAGAACCATATAATAAGGTCCTGTTGAAGGAGGGGGAGAGAGTCCTTTCCTAGCGTTTGTACCATTAATAGACAGATATAAGCCACTTGCAAGCTCCAGGTGCTAAACAAATAGACATATTAATCTTCAACCATCCTTCCTGTCCAATTTAGTGTGCTTAGTACCACTATGTCCCAAGAATGTATTTGATTCCATAACCTCGCCCCTTCTTTAGCCTCTTAGTTCATAAATTGAGATGGCTAAAGCTTACCATGTTGTGGACAGTTTGCACTGGTTTGGGCCAGACACAAAATTCATTGCATTTATGTTTTATCTCATACTAAATTTACATAATTTAAATTAGAAATGCAAACATTACTGAAAGAACTTATGTTTGAAAAGCAGAAAGATTATTTTATATCTTGATGTTGAAATTTGATCAGAAGTCTTCAAATAAGATTGTTTAAGAATAAATCCATTAATTTTTCCCTCTATGCTTTCTAATATCAGGAAAGACCAGAGGGATTCAAAATTGTTATTTTCCCATGACTCATCCCCACCCGTGGAGTTTTGTGCTATATATTCCCTGCCTTGTCTGTTCTTTTTGTTAAAAATTCTCATCATCACCCCCTACTTTTTTTTTTCGCTGAGGCTTTCAATTTGCAATATCTTAAACTGGCAGAGAAGTAGAAGGGGTTGAACTCTCAACCTTTGAAATCTTTTAATACTTGCTGAGTAGTCAAGGAGCAAAGTAGAAAAGACTGCTGATTGAACTTTACCCCATTTGGAAAAGCCTTTGCTACTATAGCTCAAACATCCATGTTTTAAAGAAGTATTTGTTTTCCTAAAAAGTAAAAAATATTTTGGAACATATTCCAAAAAAGTGAGGCCAAATTTCTATACTTAGTGGTTAGCTTAGGGAACTTTTTAGACCTGCTTTAAAATCAAGTACTTTTGCATAATGTATTTAATAGATGAGAAATAATTTTATTTTAGATTTATTGTGTTGTCTGTTGTATTGCTTCTTGCTGTTTTTTCAAAGTACTTTACACTTATAAATAGACATCATTGCTCTCACTCTTAAGGCAGCAATTTCTGGGTGAAATTATTCAGGGAAGCCAAGACACAATCTTAATATGGTCATAAATTAGTCATCCCTTAAGATCAACAATCTGTTCATGAACAGAGAGGTGCTGATGACTCCCCACAATCTTCCGGGTCTGCCTTTCAAATAATTTATAGATGCAAAAAAATATTGGGAGCTGTGAAAGGCCCCATTCTACCGGATTTTGTGTCATTCTTTCCTGGGACCAAGGTGGGAGTCATTTTATTCCTGTCTTGTCTAACGTTAAATAAAAACTGTGAACAGTGGGGTATTACCTCTTCTTGGTGAGCTTGTTTCCACTATACTCTTCACAGTTCACAATCATACTAAATGAACTCCTTTTCCATTATTTTTAATTCTTTCCATTTCCCACCCCCATGGTGGATTTCCTCCTACTTGCAGAAACTTGAAGATGATGTCCTTACAACCTTCTCTCCAGTATCTTCAAATGATCCAGATATAAATATTTTAGTGCCTTCGCCAGTGACTTTCAGAGGGCATGAAAGTGTCTGCACTCGTCCCTTATTTTTAAAGCTGTCTGATCTATAGCGCAATACTAGCTAGTGGACTCTCCCATAACAGTTGACACGGAGAAAAAGAGACGATTACAAAGAGAACTATTTAAATTGAAAAGGAGGGAGGAGACGGAGGATGGAGAGGAATGGAAGAGAGAGGGCGGAGCTAGCTCAGCACATAAAATCGCACTAGAGAAGGAAGCACGTTTGTGTGTGCCTGAGCCACTCTCCTGCGACCAAGAGAGATGGGGCCGTCTGTGTCGTGAGCACGGAGATCAGAAGAGGGAAAACAAGGACAAGAAGACAAGCGAGACAGAAGAGGACATCTGGACAAATCGGAAGGCAGAAGCCCAGGAGAGGAAAAGAAACCCACAGCAGGTGGAAACAAGATCCAGAGCAAACCAGTCGGATCCACAGTTGTTTTCCTTCAAGAGAAGTGGCGGAGGATCGCCCTTTTCCCCTTCAGTTAATGAAAAGTACTTTTATCCTCCTAAAAGAAAAGGCTAAGGGGAGGCAGAAATCTGTTTCCTTAAGGGGAGAGCTGAGGGAAATCCAGACTGTCTCTATTTGAAGCGTCTGAAATAAGCCTGGTACACATTGCAGAACCATCCTGTTTTCCGAAGAGCTACATCCCTCCCAGGAGCATTCCAGCCGGAGTCGCTGGTACAGTTTTATGTTTGTATTTAAATATCTATGTCTCTTCTTTCTCCTCCCTTTTAACACTTTCCTTGTTCATAAGCACGAGTGACAAGAAAGTGTCAGTGTAGAGTAGAAATATTTTCAATTTTCTCTTTTATCTGCCTGTGTCTTTTTAAGAGGGAAGGGGTGGTTCTTATATTGGAAAAGACATTTTAATTTGAAAGGCTCGCTCTATAAATATATTTACACCCATTCGCATTTAGAACGAGAGATCTTTCGGAGGTTGAAATCCTACTGAGAAAGATGGAAAAAGGAGCCAGGCACCGAACCAACGCCGAAAAGAACCACCCAGAGGGGAGCGAGTCAAAGACTGGGTCCGGAGAGGGCGGAGTATCCCTGAAGAAGGAGATTGGATTGGTCAGTGCTTGCGGTATCATTGTAGGTGAGTGCAATTCCCTCTCCCACCACCCCCCTCCCTCCCCGTCTTGGTGGTCCTCCTGCGGAAACTTAACCCCTCTAAAAGGCTATTTATGCTTCCTATTCTCTTAGAAAATGATTGTCAGTCACCTGTGCTGTAACCTACCCCGTGCCAGTCAAGGTTTGTCCAAGCCAAGCTGAATAGCTTTGTCCAGTGCTCATAGACTATCACACACCTGGCCGATGGTCAGCATTGCCTGGGAGCGTTTTTAAAAAAAAGCCCTGACCGGTTTGGCTCAGTGGATTGAGCGTCGGCCTGCGGACTGGAGGGTCTCGGGTTCGATTCCGGCCAAGGGCACGTGCCTTGGTTGCGGACACATCCCCAGTCGGGGGTATGCAAGAGGCAGCTGATCGATGTTTCGCTCTCATCGATGTTTCTAGCTCTCTATCCCTCTCCCTTCCTCTCTGTAAAAAATCAATAAAATATATATTTTAAAAAAATACAGGCTTTTGGGCTCCCCACCTGAAGGTTCTCATGCAGTAGGCTTCAGGTGTGTGCCTGAGCCACTCTCAGGTGCTAGGGCACCTGAATTTTAACAAGCTTTATGCAGCCATCTCCTCAGCAGACTCTGGACTCACTTTTGAGGCATGTTAGTAGATATTTGGTTATTTTATGTTATATGAAACTATGGGCCTACGGGATGTGTAGTAATAAAAATAGCTACAACGGCCATAATAATACTTTGCCTTTCTATAGCTTTTCCACTTTACGCACTTTGCGAAGTAATTGAGACAGGGCTCTGATTCCCATTTCACAGATGAGGAAATAAATTATGCAAGAAGAGACAGCTCATGTCTTTTTGTAAATGTATAGTTTGCACTTTCTCTAGTTGCCTAGTGAAGTCCCCTGTCTCCTAACCCTGTGGGTTCTTGAAAGGAATTGGGAGGAACTAGAACAGTGGTTCTCAACCTTCCTAATGCCTCGACCCTTTAATACAGTTCCTCATGTTGTGGTGACCCCGAATTTCATTGTTACAAATTGAACATAATTAAAGCATCGTGATTAATCACAAAGACAATATGTAATTATACATGTGTTTTCCGATGGTCTTAGGCAACCCCTGTGAAAGGGTCGTTCGACCCCCAAAGGGGTCGCGACCCCCAGGTTGAGAACCGCTGAACTAGAATGTGGAGTCAGGGAGGAATTGATGGATAAAACGCACCCCAGCTTAGAGGCTTTGAAGGTGGGGAGCCTGGGTGCCCCAGAGAGTGCAGTGCAGGCTCCTTCAACCCCCTAACTGTACTCAGCAGGGGGTTCCAAGTACAGCTTCATCTCTAGAAAACACATCCTCCTCTTTCCAGAGAGGCTCTGGACTTGGATGGGCAATGGCACATTACTGTCGTCACTTCAGAGGGTGAGAGTTTCTCCTGCTGTCTTTGGCAGAGGGCTTCATCTTCTCCCCATGGGAAGGGGCGCGAGACAGACAAGCTGGGTATATTGCATCATCTTGTTGTTAATCCCCCCTCCCATTTAGAGAGAGTGGAAGGGAGGGAGGGGGAGAAAGAGAGAAACATCAATGTGTTGACCACCCCTCCACACCTCAACAAGTACGTGCCCTCCACCGGGATTCAAACCTGAGACCATTTGGTGCACGGGACCCATGCTCTAACCACTGGGCAACCTGCCAGGGCTCTCCAGAGTTCTTTTTGACGCCTCATTGTGTCATGGTGCCCACGAACCAATTTCTCTGGATGACCCAATGGTCCATTTATTAGCACAGAGACATTTTTGGCACCTGTGCAATAGTGACACTGGAGAACACCCTTGAAATAAAATAAAATCAGTACAGTATTCAGATAATCCTCTTCACTTCTACACCCAGACTTCAGTGATACTGTTATTACCACCCTGCTTTTAAAATAGAATTCCACTTTATCTAATTCTCTGTCTCTGGGAGGTTTTCCAGGTGTCTACAGTTATAAGAAAAGCAATGTTATTTAAAAAAATATAGTCATGATCTGAATCTCTCTCTCATTACCCTTTCTTTGCCTCTCCTTAATCCCAATTGCTGTAAGAAATGAGATCAGCAAAGTACTCCATTTGTACAGCACATGCCAATTTATGTTATATAAATAGCAGAGCCTGTTACCTCTTTCACCAGCTTGACTGATAGGATTAAGCATTTTCCTCCCTTTGGGAAGGTTCTGATTCATAGGCAGATGTGCACACCCACATGCACACAAGCACAGCTGCCTTCTTGCTGCCTCAGCTTTGCTCACCCACACCTACATATGTGGAGGTTTTCAAGGGCAGAGGATATTTTCCTGTGGACTCAGATTGGTCTATCTCTTTCTTTAACATTTTTCTAAGACTATGAAAAGAAATTTGTGTTCAGGTTAAAAAGTACAACTTGAGTGAATGTTACTACGGACTTATCCACAACCTCATGGATGGCAGTATGGTGAAAGGAGATGCCAGATGTGTGATTTCAGAGAAAACTGGATATTTTTCCAAAGTGAGAGAATCCTTTTAGTTACTAGGCACTATTCTACATCTAAGCTAGGATAAGATGCAAATTTTCCTTTTAGGATGATATGGGGGGAAATCCTTAGAGATGCCAGATATGTGATTTCAGAGAAAACTGGATATTTTTCCAGTTACTAGTCACTATTCTACATCTAAGCTAGGATAAGATGCAAATTTTCCTTTTAGGATGATATGGGGGGAAATCCTTTTGGTTGTTGAGTTACTAGTACAAGTGTGCCGAACAGCTGCCTTATCCTTTTCTAGAGGAGTTTCTGAGTGGATGATAGTTATTCAAGTTTTATCAAGACCAAATGCAAAAAATAAATGCATTTTCTACACAGAATTCAGAGTTCAACATCAACACTATGGAAGAAATCTAATTAGAAGGCAAAAAGAGAAAGGAAATTTCCTAAGTGAATCAGATAAAGCGGTATGTGAAAGTAGCAATTTGGCCTCAAGTCTATCTATCTCAATTGACTTAGAGGGATAAGTGAAAGTATATTTCATACAAGCTCATAAAACTTCATCACAATCATCACGGATGATCTGAAGTACAGGGTGCCCCCCCGAAATGTATACACGCTTTGAATGATTATATAAAGTCAGTGTTTATTAACATACAGTTCATTTTCAAAATTGAGTTATCAGTTGTTAAAATGTATATACATTTTTTGGGATACCCTATAGAAATAACAGAATGGCAGATGCTATAGGAATATATAATGAACTAATAGAAGACTCATGCCCTAGAGTCTCTTAGGGAGATGAAATTCATATGCATTAAACAGAGAACATTGAACATGCATTATATGATTGAATTGTGTAAGAGATGAAGGAAGGCAAAGTTAGGTGAATGGTGGAAGCACAAAGAGAGAGAGAGAGAGAGGTTCTCACCCAGAACTAGATTAAAAAGCATCTTGAAGGATGTGAAAAAAGATGGAGTAGAGAAGATGATTTGGGGAGATTTTGTAGGTAAAGGGGCAGTAACTAAACTGTTATTTTCTGGAGAAAAAAACAACTAAGCTGTTATTTCTTATTCATCTCTGAGTCTTTAGTGTTTAGAGAGTGCCTGACATAGAACAATTACTTAAATAATTATTGAATTTAATTGACTCTTGACAAAAGTCTGAAGACAGTAGTAATAAAAAGTATTTATCCGAGGGGCTGTTGGGAACCTGGCTTGAAAGTCTTTAAGATAGGAATAATTTTATCAACCTGGACAATTAGGTTGTCCCATTTTCTTTCTTTTTAATTCTCACCTGAGGCGATTTCCCCCCCACTGATTCTGGAGAGAGAGGGAAGGAAGAAACATCTATGTGAGAGAAACATGGATCAGTTACCTCCCATACGCACCTTGACTGGGGATTGAATCCAAAACCTGGGTATGTGCTCTGACCCGGAATCAAACTCACAACCCTTTGTTGCACTGGATGATGCTCTAACCACTGAGCACGCCAGCCAGGGCAGGTTGTACCATTTTCATTCTTTAACATCACTTTTACCCTAAGCTAAACAAGCTATTGCTCTCCATGTACTTGGTTAAGAAAACCTGTTGGCAATAGATGAACTTAGATTTCTCCATGAATGTAAAAAGACTGTGAAGGAGCAGCAAAATTTATTTATTAATTATACCAAAGCTACTGTTAATAGCTTCCATTATGAAACACTTATTATATGCCAGGTACTCATCCAGTTACCTAACATACATTATCTTATTTATCTCTCACAATAACCCTGAGGTAGACACTTATTAACCCTTCTTCCAGATAAGAAAATAGAGGTTCAGAGGGAGAAAGTCACAAGGTGGTGAAGGTCACACAGCTGAAAAGTATGGAAGCCAAGATTCAAACCTAAAGCTTTTCTGAATCCTGAATCAAGCTCTTAAGCATTATTCTCTGCTATTTCTGTTTTTATGTCCTGAAAAGTGTGTTTTCCTTTAGACTCTGGGCAAAAGTCCTTATCATTTTTATAGATGAAGCAGTTAGTGTTGTATTCCCAGTGAGGAAGTGTCCCAGTGTAAAGGGATGTTGGGCAATCAGCTGGGGTGGAAGAAGGTAAGATTCCTGGTGCAATCACAGGAAGACTTGGAGGGAGGTGTGTCGCTCAGCTGCTACAGGATCTGGCCGGCACAGAACACATTCCATGAACTCTCCCACAGGCTCATCATTCCTCTCAGGACCAGCAGTCTTCCCAACCATCAAAGAGGGGCCCAGAGTTCCTGGCTGTTTACATCATTTTATCCCAGTTACATATTTAGGTACATGCCTAGAATCTAGGTCTGAAGGCCACCAGGCCAGTTGCAGAGCCTAAAGAAAAATATTCATACTATGTTCGACCGTTTTGTTTTTAGTACAGTGTGTGTTTATGGGGGAACTTGATCCATTTGCTGCAGAGCAATACTGGATGTGGTTCTAGCTACTAGACTGCTGTCTCCCAACTAAAAAGATGTTTAAAAACAGTATTTATTGAGCTCTAACTAAATGCTGCTTCCTGTGCTT